ATTTATTACACTCAAGCAGACTGGCAGCCATAAATCCAGCTTTACGTTTGCAGTTAAACGCCTGCTATCGTGAAACAAAGGAATAAAGGCGAACAGTCCACAGCTGTGGTGCTGTGGTGCTGATCTTACAGCTTAACCAAAAATATGTAATAAAAAATAACGAAAGGTCACGCTGTAGCAGGATTGTCTTAACAAGCATTTGTGTGTGCGTATTTCGTATAGGCATCTGAGACACATGTTGTGAGAAGATATGGAGGGGCTACATGTCCATCCCACTGTGGAGCAATAGGTGTCCTGAGCTGCTCTGAGGTCAGAAGGGCTGGCCTTCAGCTCTCTGGATGATGTCCCTGTGCTGGTTTACGGCCCAGCTGGCAGACAGAGCTGTAGGCACAAATGCTCATGGCTTGTGGGATGAAGGGTCTGATAGCTTTGAGAAAATGGCCCCCATAGGCTCACAGGGAATGGCATTATTGGAGATGTGACCTTAGAGGAAGTGTGTTTCAGTCTTCTTCCTGTTGCCTGATGATCCAGATGTAGAACTCCCAAGTGCATTCTGTCATGCTTCCTGCCATGATGATAATGGCCTAAACTTCTGAAACTGTAAGCCAGCCCTCTATTCAATGTTTTCCTTTATAAGAGTTGCCAGGACCATGGTGTCTCTTCACAGCAATAAAATTCTAAGACACAGGGGAATTGGTTGGGGTGCAATAGCCGGGGTGAGGGTTGTGGTGGAGGACAGCAGACAAGAGACAGATAGTGGTGCCTCTCTGTAAATCACAGTGACAGCTTCTGGGACACATTGGTTCCTGCTCTCTGGGAAGCTCTTCTCCACAGGAGTTATTCTAGCAGCAACCCTCTCCAACAAACAATTTAACGTCACCACGTTTTCAAAATGAGCATGTTCAGAATGAGGGTGATTGACAAAATGGTTTTAAAGATCAGGTCAGCTCTCCATTATCAACTATCATTGAGTTGGATGGTCACAAAAAGAGAAGAAAAATACTTTGAAGAACCCTTTCAAATCTATCAGAAGGAAATTCAAGCTAAGAGTGTAGCTCAGTGGTACAGGCTCACCCAGCGTCTCAAGGACCCAGTCTGTACAACACAGCACTACCACCACCAAAGTCTCTTTGCTTGAGGCTGAAGGGCTCACTACTTAACAGCATAGTGGTGTAATTCTAGTACTCAGGAGGCTGAGGCAAGAGGACCGTGAGTTTATGGCCAACCCCAGCTACAGACTCTAAAGGAACATTTAAGCAGTGATGATGAAGACATGCACCAAATACTGAGTACCTGAAGCCAGAAAAAAAATTACTTAATGTATCTGAGATCAAAACAAAGCATTGGCAGAACCACACACTCACCCTCTACTTTCTAACTATCATTTCTCTGTAATATATTCTTTGCTTGTGTTTAATAGCCAGTTTCTGAATTAGTACATCTCTGTGTCCTAGTTTGTTTTCTGTTGATGTGATTAAGCATTCTAACCAAAAGCAACCTGGGTAAAGGGGTTTATTTGGCTAACATCTCTTAGTCCACCACTGAGGAAAGCCAAATAAGGAATGTAGAGGTCAAAACCAAAGCAGAGACAACAGAGGAATTCGGCTTTCTTTGCCTTGCCCTGCTATGTTCATGATATAATCCAAGTCTACCTGCATAGGGCTGGCACCACACAAGGTAGACGAGGCCTCCCTTCATTGGCAGTCAAGAACATGCCACACAGACCTGCCCATAGGTCAGTCTGCCAGAGGTGATGCTTCAGTTGAGGTCCCTTCTTCCCACATGAGGAAGAGAGTTGTCCTTACCCAAAGTTGGACACACACACACACACACACACACACACACACACACACGTCTTACTACTTATTATAATTTGGATCATCATCTGCAAAATCATCATCTACATGATTTCTTAAACTTTAATTTTTTCCCCCTTCTAATGATTCTCATTTCCCTTCTCAGTGTTTGGCTAAAGAAGATAATTTCAATGGAAAAATGATTAGTTCTTTAAAAATCTTAGAAATAGCTGAGATAATAGTAGATATTTTCCAAAAGAGAAAGTGCTTCTTTCTTGCACTACAGCAATGGAAAGAAACCTTAAATAATAAGAACACCCAACTATGGAATGGAGAAAGGGATAACATAGGAAGGGGCAGTTTTAGAGCCTGTGAGTGGGGTGGGGAACCATAAAACAAAGATAAAAATCTCAATATTGGTGTTTTTCTCTACTAGTATGGCCAAGCACCTACTACCCACTTGAACCCCGAGTCTCTAGAGACCCTTTTTCATCCCCAAACTGCACAGATAATTCATAAAAGACACTTGGCTAGCTTCTAGGGTTAAACTCTGCCAAGCCAGGTGCAATGATAAGAAGTTCCATAAAGAGGGTGAGCACTGGCTTATGGCCTTAAATCGAGGGGTTGTAAAAAGGATAATAAAGAATCAACATTTTAAAAATTACTTCTAAGGAGGAAGTGAGAACTTCCTGGTTTTTAAATATGCCTCCCAAATGGCATGAACTCTCAACACACGGGTTGTAATTTCTTGTTATCAGTCACATTTCGAAAAACAGCATTTTTCTAGTTAAGAGTGGAAAAAAAAAAAAAAAAAGCAAAGGTGAAAAGGACAAGACATTCCAAACTTCTGACAATGTCGTCCTTAAGGCCTGAGGCCACAAAAACAAACAAAAAGACCAACCAAACAAACAAAAAACACAGCAGGAAATGAAGCGGTCACAGATGTACTGAGAGCCACAGGTTGGGAATGAGAGGGCATGATGTCTTTCTTTCCACCGTGTACTCTCCCAGAATCTTACAGCTCTGTTTAGGTGATGAGTGGAAGTTATCTACCTGGCACACTGACCATGCTCCATCACATTGTCCTCAGCCAGCCAAAGAGATTGTGTTTTTGATAAAACAAGTAAATATCCCTATGCTGTCACCAACACTATGCGGTATTTGTTTACAGAGGAGCTGACCACAGCCCTGATCATTAACTTCTCAGGGTCATCTGCAGGTGTGGAGTGAGGACGAAAGAACAAAAACTCTTGAAATGCCCTCAGTACAGTCAACAGTAATAATGTCACAGGCATGATCAACAATTATGCCCTGGTTTCAGTGAATAATGCAGACAGTTTTGCAACATTTGACCATGCATGTACACACACACACACACACACACACACATTCACACACAAAATAACCCCAAATGATCTCAGTGCAGAAACCTTAGCCACCCCAAGGAAGGCTTGTATGGTTTGTGCTCTTACCTCCAGACATTCTACTTTTTCAAGAGCAGCAACCCTTATGGAAAGATTGCCAAGAACTCCCAAAAGAGAATTATAAGGGAATCAGTTACGGTGTGCAGTTATCTTCCTTTCCTTTAGGAATGAAAAGTGCTATGTGTGCATTACCCTGACTCTCAGAAACTGACTCACCCTCCGCCCTCGCAGACTCTCGTGACAGGAGAACTTGAGCTTGGACTTGGGACAACTCCGGCTGACTCTGAGTGACAGCAGGTTGCAGATCACTTGCTAATGGCAGTCGTAAGAGAAGTTAAATTAGATTTTTTTCCCCTTACACATATAATTTGAAGATTACAGAGTACAGGTTTTAAAGGTCAGAGCGAATTACTAATTAAGTTGAAGCATTTGAAATTAGCATGTAAAACCTCTACTCATAATAGCGATTAAGGAATAATTAATCATGTATAGGAAAAATGGCTGCCAAGTGGAGTCAGCAGTAAAATCACTTTTAAACTAGTTGCTATGGAGCTTCTTCTGGATGACGTCACTGAGAAAAGGCATGGTCTTAGCTCCATTTCTTTTTCTTTAGGCTGCTGGGTTTTTTGTTGTTGTTGGTTTTTATTTGTTTGTTTGTTTGTTTAGTTGGTTGGTTTTCAAGGCAGGGTTTAGCCTTGGCTGTCCTGGACTTGCTTTGTAGATCAGGCTGGCCTGGAACTCACAGTGATCCACCTGCCTCTGCCTCTCAGAGTACTGGGACTACAGGCATGGGCCACCTCACCCAGTTGCAGTTGTTTGTCTGTTTGTGGGCTATGAAGATAGCCCAGCCTGTAAAATGCTCGCCAGCACACTTCCTAGACAAGCAATGGAGAAAGTCCCTACTAGAACCCAAGAATTCTGGGTGTGGTGGTACATCCTTGAAGTCCCACTGCTGCGGGTGTAGAAACAGGCAGACCGCTGGAGCTCACTCGTCAATCACAGCCAGGCTATGAGAGATGCTATTTCAAAAACAAGATGGATGGTGCTCAAGGAGGAAAGACACCCAAGACTGTCTCTAGGCACAGAAGCATATATCCTCACACACACACACATACACACACGCACGCACGCACGCACGCACGCACGCACACACAAGCTTTCCAGACAGCACAATCAAGGCAGCTGTTCGCCAGTGTTGCCAACCCACAGGAGCCCAGTAGCACACAGTGCAGCTGTGATCACCCTTTACCTGTTATTCCAGATGTGAAGGAACCTACAGCAATGATATCAAAGATGGAATCACAAAACCACTTTAATTTTGCTGTAAATGCAGACATTTCAACCTCTATGATCATTTCAGATTCTCTGAAGGCCGATGTTGACTCCCCCTGTTAAGAATTTAAAAGCCTTTTGGGAGGCTGAGGTAGGAGACTGGGAGGGAGTTCAAGGCTAGCCTAAGCTACAAAGAGAGACCTGTCTCAAAAAACCAAAGCAGATACATAAAAGAACAAACGAAAGTAAAATTTTAAGTAAGTAAATAAACCTTTGATTGTGAAGTTGGTTATTTGGTGTTGTCTGGGGGGTGCACCTACCATTTGTGGATTGTGCTCTTAATCTCTCCCGGTTGTCTCAGAATGTCTGCTTCCTGCATGCCGAGATGGAAGGTGAGGCCACCACGTCTGGCCTTTCCACATGAAATTTAAATATCACCCGGCTGATTTGACTTACAAATGTTCAGTGAGGAAAAACATTAAGGCAGCACTTACATACAGATTTATATTTTAAGCAGTTGTTATTTATTAATCAGCTAATCCACACAATAAACCTATGAGGTAGTTTAACATGCCTTGAATATGAACAGATTCAAAATCAGAAAAGGTGCGGGGCAGGGGGAATCTAATCCAACAATAATATGTTAGAGAGACAGACCTTTCTTAGGCCTGTTCTTACAAAACAGGAAGAATTCACCGGAAGAGCTGATCAAGTGAATGACAGATAGTTAGTGGGGACTGCAGTTACCACCCGGGGTGTCTCTTCTTGGGGGTTAGGGTTCTGAATTTCCACGGCCCTGGCAAAAATGCCTCCCTCGGCTTTGGCAGACAGGCGGCCCCTCCACCCGGCAGGTTCAACGGGAGTGTCGGCATTGCGCCTGCGTCCCGTTGTTCTTTCCTTTTGGCATGGTTGGCCCTAGTAAACTTACTCCTACAGACAGTACGAAGATCTTTGCAGTTCCAATTTATGGTTCTGTGTCATCTAAGAGGCCAAGGAAGAACAAGCCCCATTGGTCTTTCGGTCCGGCAGCAGTGGATGAGAATTTTATGGCTACTCTATCAGTAGAAGGAATCACCCAGCACTTGCTGCTTAGCGGATTGCTTTATGAGCATATTTATTAGTTCACTGGGCTGTGGAGACTGTATATAAAGAGAGCTCATTAATTTGGGCCTCACCATCATGGCTTTTGTGGCCACTGGCACATGTGCTAGCCTCAAGCTTATTTCTGCAATAAAAGGGAAGAACATTTTGTAAAGCAAATTCCAATTGTATTGCTGGGACTCAGTAATGATTCAGCTTTCTGAGGAATGAGACCTAAGCGTGGAGTTCAGGGTTAGAGCAGGTGGACAATGCCGTGTTGCAGTCCGGAGATTTTATCACAGCATGAAAAGAGCGAAACGAGAAAGAGGAAGTCAACCATCAGTGACTGTTCTGTTAAGCATAGAAATATCGATTTAATACAAGGTCAGTTGGTGTGTGTTTTCCTCACTGTGGCCACAAAACCTCATGTGGTCAGCTGACATGACTGAACACTGGAACAGCCATTGTACTTTAGACAGTAATGTTAACAGTCCTTCTCTCTCATAGATAAGCATTCTCTATGTTCTCCTTAAATGGCATGTTACAGAAATCACCCTAACAAGTTCCTATTGTAGTCTCATTGCTCTCTACCGGGGAGCTTCAGGTGGCCTGGCCAGGGCACAGAGACACAGTCAGGCTTGCATTTGTTTCTTTTCTTCCCAGCAGAATTAACTGGCCACTGGAAAACATTGACCCTAAATCCAACTCCCATCTACTCATAATAAAACTGAAAAGTAACATAAGACTTAGTTAAACATACAGGCACACCAAAGAAACAGTGAGCAGCAGCTTCCTGCATAGCAGTCTTTCTGTTCTACAGTCCCCGGAACACAGCGGCATTTCTGAGTCTTCCTGTAGTATGTAGTCTGGCCAAGTGGTCTTCATGGCATCCTGGGATGACATTCCCCTTCTCTACATGAGCATGAACAAACTTGAGAACAATCAAACCAACAAAATGTTTGGTGGGTGTTTGTGGCAGCTTGCCAAAGAGCAATGGTATTTAGATGAGGCACTCTGAAATAATCTGATTATTGTAGCTGGAGGCTTATCTATAAAGGACTTGGCAAAGCTTCACTGTAATGCAAAGGAAATCTATGTTCACAGGCTTTTTTTTATCTCAGGTCATTAAAAAAAAATAAACACAACACTTCAGGGAAAGAGTTCAGGCACTAAACATAAACAGAAAAAAAAGACTTAAAAAAAAAAACTCAGACTATGCTTATATTACAGCAGGATTGACAAATAAAGCTTTATTCCACACATTCAAAGAAAAGCCATCACTGCAGGATTGTAACTCTGTTGTGTGCTTCTTTCTAAAATATCAAAATAAAATTGTTGTCGCTACACCCGTCTTGTTCCCCTGCAGCATGACTGTACCGGTATGTGACCTCTGTCTTCGCGGCCACAGCCTGGTCCCTACGGTCTGTGACCTCCTCACACAACAAAACAGGCACCTTAAGAACAACACTATGCATTTCCGTGTCGTTTCATTTATTGCTCGCTGGCTGTAACCACCTCATGTCTCTGTGGAAAGCAATGATGTCTGGAAAGGTTGTACTTCACTGGTGGTCACAAGGTGTAAAGGGCTGCTCCAGCCAGCTGAGAGCCCAGGAATGGAAGTTTGGTGTCAACCTTGCAGTGTCTGCAAGACACCACTTCCCATGGTGATGTAATTAACCCCGGAGAAGGATCTTTACAGTTGCACTCAGACTTGATCCCTTCAAAGAGCATCAATTTCTGGTCCATCCTCTACCCAGTGGCATTCTTTTCAAAGTCACCGAATCCCAGCTCAGCAACAAGATGAAAGAGAAACAGGAGAATGAAGTTTCTTCAGGATTTAGTTCACGTTTCCCCCAAATCATCAGTACCCCAAATTAAAGCCCACAGTCTGGGCCAACTTTCTAAGAACTACTTCCAGCTCACTCTGGGGTTTAAAATTCTCCTTCAGATACCTTCAGAAAAGCATTCCACCAGCATTAACTGCTGTGAAGACATTTTTACTTAATCGGATCATCATGCACTCAAACTAATTCTTTTCCTAAGCTATGATCTGGCAGCTTGCAGGGAGAACTTGGCTTAATCTTGGGAAACTTTCCGTCAAGGTGATCCAGAGTGAAGGCCCTTCCTCTCTGTTTCCACTTGCTCTCAGAAGCCTGGTATTTAGAGGCAAGGCTGGTTCATCGGTGTGAAGCAGGAAGGAGTGGTATTCTGGTTGTCATACAAAATCCACAGACCACAATTTGTTCTGTTTCTGCGGTTGCTGTCACCAACTATGTTCCTCATGATGACAAAAGTATATTTATCAATGGATCTAGGAGACTTACATGAAATCATGAAGGGTCTCACAAAATCACTGTAACTCTAATCTAGAATAAACTGGAAATTAAATTTTCCACTCTGTAAGTTTGAATAATGCTCTGACTAGCTGTGATTGCAGTTTAGAACTTGTGCTAAACATGTTATCAGGAAAGGATTCCTTAAAATCCAAGTATAACTTGCCACTAAATTAAAAGAAGAAAAAGAAATCTTATTTACTTTCAAAAATCAATATTGGTCATGTGTTAATCTGTGAATCCTTGTAAGAAATGTTCATTGCTCAAGGAAGGATCCTCTTTTGGTTGGTGAGCAGTTCTCCACCACAGGGAAATACTGGCATCTCTTCTTAGCTTTTGATTGATGCTTTTACTACTTATTCTTCAGGCTGTAAGACAGAAAGAAAGAAAAAAAGAAAGAAAGTAGTACTTTTTCCCACAACCATATATGTTGGCACTTCCCTCTTTACCACGCCCACCCTCCATCTCCAGCCTCAGCAAACTTAAACTAGACTGAATTTAGATGGTGAATCATTTTAGTGTGTGTGTGTGTGTGTGTGTGTAGGTAAGGATGGTCACCTTTGAGTGTCTGCATGGAGGCCAGAGATCAGCTCCAAGTTTCTTCCCTTATTTTTCTTCACTTTATATTTCTGAAACTTTATATATCTTCACTCAACATTAACTTACCATCTGGCTATATTGACTAGGTGGTAGGCCCTAGGATTCACCTGTCTCCACCCTCCCAGTACTGAAGCTACTAGCATTTATGTGGGTACTGGGGATTAGAACATAGGTCCTTGTGTTGGTACACCAAATACTTTACCCTCTCAGCTATCTCCCCAGGCCCTATACTATGGTTCTTTTAGGAGATTAAATAATCTGCATTATATAATGACTGAGTTATCAATGCTATCTCCATACTGTGAAAATCTGTACTTCTACAGTCTTAGTCCAGATACTAGTTCCTTTTCAAACGATCTTAAGATAAAAACAGTAGATGTCAATAGATGATTGGTTTTTCTCATGACATATGTGCCACTATTTCACTGAAGTGTTTCGCATGCACTACTCTGTTGTAGGTCAACAGGTTTGTATGTGGGTGATAGTAATTACCCTTTTCCTTTGGTAGCTTGCATAGGACCTTCCAGCACCGTGAACATTAGTTATTAGGGGTCAGGCTTCTAGTTATGCACCAGCTTGACTTACCATGCTTGGTTTCATAGCTAAGTTGTTGTCTTCAGCAATAGAGCCTTACCAACAAGTTGTGGAACAGCCTTTGCAATAGTCTTTAATGTTTAGGGGGTTCTGTGGGACTCCTTTGGTCAAATACTCAAAAGGATATAATTCATACCTGGCACTGGAATTGTAACTTGGTAAAATGTCTAGTTGGGGCACTGTCTCTGCTACTGGATTAAAGGCCCATTTTGTAAGACGTTACTCATAACCTAACACCGCAAACGTAGCCACGAACTAGAGACTATATAGAATATGGGTTTACAAGAAAATCTAATATTATTATTCTGTTAAAGGAACACAACAATAAAATGACTCTTAATGACGTACTGCTGTATGCACAGATCGGTAGCTTGCTCAGCCAGTGTCAGAGAGCTTCTCCTTACAGTGAGGAAGAAGTAACAAAGAGACCCACCACTAAAAGGGGTACAGAGACTCTGAAGCACTTGGGTCTAAATGGGATATCTTTATCAAACTCCTCCCCTCAAGGCTCAGGGATCAATGTGAAAGAGGAGGCAGAAAGATTATAAGAGCCAGAGGTGATGGATGTCTCCAAGGAAACGGTGTCTTCCAGACACAACAGGACGGCTGCACATATGAACTCGCAGAGTCTGGAGCAGCATTCTCCAGGTTCAGGCCAGATGAGCCTTAGGTCCCAGCACTGAAATGTGGAACAGACATGAGGGGATCCCACTCTTCCTAAGAAGTTACGTGCAATTTTTTTCTCCATCTTCCTGGCCTTTCGCTTTCACAATCTTTCAATGTCCTATCTGTGGCTGAGTCCTCCACAATCATTTATTCTTTGCACTTTGACCAGCTGTGAGCTTCTGTACTAACCAACATCAGCTGCACAGAGAAATGTCCCTGATAAGATATGAGGATGCTACTCCACTATAGATAAAGGTCCATGAATTTAGAGGGTGGTTTGATACAATGTCCACTTAGAAAATAACACTACCCAGTTTTGCCCGTAAGGCCTGTGAGCTCCCCAGCCAGGCATGAGTTCCCTCCTGTGGAGTGGGCCTTAAATCCTAGCAGAAAGCTGTTGGTTACCCCTCTAACTTCTGTGCAATGACTGGCCCTGCGGGCATATCTTGTGATGCTGGTTATTACTGCAGTTAACAGGGTCCACGGATAGGTGACATTGTTCGGGATACCCCCCATAGCAACCTGGAAGGCATCTCCCAGTACTGAGAGCCAGATGTCTTGATAGCAATCTAATAAATAAACATTCAACAAAGTGAAACACTACCACACATATCTGAAACCTCATTTTCCAAGAAAAAAAAATTCTTTTGTAGAATATTCTTAGGATTTAAGGATTACAGGGCTGTTAGAATAATGCACATGAAATGGAGACTCCACACTTCTTTTCTTCTTTTTATCGGCTTTGAAATTTTGCCTTGAAATGACCCTGGAAACCACAACCAGTTTTTCTTTTTTTAATAGTTGTTCTGAAAAGAAAAGCCCTATTTTAACGATCTTGCATTTGGTTTCTGCCACCATCAGTTCATGACCTAAGGAAATTTTACAGTCCTTGTCAACTTCATGAATTAATGTGACATAAAGGCCAAAAGTTCATACCGAGCAAACAAGTATAATTCCATTTCCATAAACTGTGGAGATGAACACTTTTGAAATGAAAATGAGTCTGGATCACACATCCACGGGTACCAGTGAGGAGAATAAGCACATCTACATCTACAGTCCTCCATCCTGATTGCATAATTCTGGAAATGCAGATGAGGGAGGAGGGGATTTTGTTGTAACTCATAGTGAAAATGGTATATTAAGGATTTAATCTTATAACGAGGAAAAATATCACTCCGTTCCCTTTATAGTCAGCATAATTATTCAGATCCTTTCTGAACGCAGAGAACTAATAACAAATTAAAGTGTCTTTGGATTCCATATAGTTTTTATAATTGTTCTCCTGTTGCTGGTATCCTTGCTGAAATGGCTCCTTCATGTTTTACACAGCATCCCATCTGATACGAAGAACATGAAAATTTTTACTGCTATTAATAAATATGGAGCCATCCAATCCAAGCAGAAAATTCTTTTTCATCTGAGAGATAAGCTGCATAATTCATATATTTTCAGAAATTTCTTAAAATAGAAAATTGAAGAAACGGCCGAGGAAAGAGAATTCATTGCGTTGTCTCTATTAATGTGGAGGCTGGTATTCTAGTTTGCTGTCTGTTGCTGTGATAAACACCAGGATGAAGAGCAACTTGGGGAAGAAAGGGTTTATTTAATCATATAGGTAACAATCCATCATCAAGAGAAGCTGCAGCGAGAGCCTGGAGCAGATACTAAAGAAGCATCCATGAAGGAATGGCTGCTGACTGGCTTGCCTCCAGGCTCACGTTAAGCTACCTTTCTCATACAACCTAGGCCATGGGGGGATGCTGCCCACAGGATCTGACCCTCCTCTGTCAATTACCAACAAAAACTAAACCGCTACAGACATGACCACAGGCCAGTGCAACAGAGGCAGTTTTTCAACTGAAGATTTCCTCCTCCCAGGTGTTTCCAGCTAACACCCAAGACTGGTCATCACAGACAGACAGTTTCACTATCTGTCTCAACGGGATCAAATTGGAAGAGAATTTCAGTCGCATCCTGCACATGCCAATCACACAGCCCACTTTAGTGTCAATACACCCAACAACAAACAGGGTAAACATTAGGTTTGGGCTCCCTCTTCATGTTTGCCATCTTTCTGACAACACTATCCATTAATAAATACTATTATTGGGATCTTGGAATACAATTAGAAAGAAATGGAATTATTTATAAAGGCTGCATACATACATCTTCCACAGGAAGCTTCCATGTTAGAGAACCATGAATTACAAATAGCTCCTGTGAACTGTAGCTCCTATGGGAGTAGCAGGGGATGTGATGGCTTTTGGGGACAAGCCGGATGAGGTGCACCTCAGGGTCAGGTAAACACTAGCACCTCAGCTCTTTCTACCCCTTTCCTCTTGGTGCATTTTAACTCCAAAATATTTTTAAAAAGTGGGTTTTGCTCCCACCTGGATACCAGACCAGACATCTCCATGTAGCATGATAAGATCCACTGAAAAAAATGATCTCACCTTTGAGAACCACCAGAACTGTATGCATACTGTCTTCTTGTGCTTAAATAGGCATGCATATTTGAAAGGCATTATCAGAGGGAAATGGAATGACCCATTTTTTTCCCCACACTAAATTTTAACTGTTCCATAAATAAGCTAAAAAACCAAAGCAGAATAATATTGTCTGGCTTCATAAAGCTGAGTTTCTGACAGTGAACACTGACAAAAAATGCCACCACAGGCCATGGATCATACAAAATGACACAGGCAGCGGTGCCAGGCAGAGAGGAGGCCTGTTCTCAGATTTTTCTACTAAACAGTCATGATTTTAACTTATTTGACTGCCCAAGTTGTCCAGGAGTTCTAGGCAAGAGAATCACAAGTTTAAAGTCCTGTACACTGTGAGTTCAAGGCCAGATACAGAGAGCTAGGGATAAAGCTCAGTGCTGCACTTGTCTAACTTGTTTTATGCCTAGGCTTCACTACCTACCCCCAAAAACTGCTCAACCTATACTCCTAAGAGTAGATGGTAGCCAAAGGCTTGACACCTTGGCTCAGCTTTCTCAGACAGTACAGTGAAAAGCCAAGTGAAATTTCTCATATTTCTCATGGAACACCTGCCATTTCTATTCCTCCCTTCTGGTGTTCCCGAATTTAAAGACAGGATTTGGGGCTGTCCCCTTGTATTTTCTTTTCCCTCTCTTTCTACAGCCAATCAGTTACCGACCTGCTGGCTTCCGACCTCACTCCACATCTCGGTTGTCTGTGCATCATTGAGCCTCATCCCACTCCAGAAAGGACACTGTAACACTGACAGCTGCCTTTGACTCGGGCCATCTAATGCCAACCATGCCCTAGGGATAACTTCTTCCCATCATGATTCTGGAGAGGGCTTGCGGTTCCTGCCCCTGTCATGCTCTCCTTTGCCATGTCTATTTGCAGAGGGTGTCCTTTCTGCCTGGGAACTCACCTGGCCTCTTTACTTGTCCAGCTGTTCTATTCTTTAAAGGGACCAGATAATCCTTGCCTGAATCCGACCTGACACAACCTGGATATTTTCAATAGCCACT